ATTCAGGGCTCCTAGATGTCATATACAATAGATTCACCTGTTTTTTTGGGTCTTTGTTGTAAGAGGGACCACAGGAAGCGTCTGAATACTCTGCCACTTGGCCCCACCTCCTCGAAAGATTCTTAAATAAGACTGAAAGAAAAATTTTTGTTTAAAAATGTTAAAAATATAAGAGTATAGAAAATGAGGGACCGACTTCTGGAATGGCAGTGAGGACCTTGGGGAGCTCACACTCTCTCTAACACAATGAAAATAAATGAAAAATAACTAAAATCAACAACTTCAGAACTCCGGTCATTAATCAAAGCCACAACATGAACTAAAATTACCTATCCAGATAAACTACTGAACCTTGGTAAGACACCAGGGTCTGCGATGTTGTAACTTAGGGCTATTCCCATCCGCCCTCCCTCACTAGCTCAGTAGTGTGGTAGCTTCAAAAGCCAGCAGTTTTGCAGTCAAAACAGAGATAAGACTCTTTTGAAAAACATAACCATGATATCATCAAATCCAAAAACAATTTTAAAAATACCTTAATATAACCAAATATCCTATGTTCAAATTTCCCCCAATTCACAACTTGAAGAATCTAATCAATATCACTGCATTAACGTAATCAATGTCACTGTGGAAATTGTTGAATTGGTCTATGTTCTGTTGTATACATTCTCAACAACAAAAAATAAACTATAAAAAAAATTCCTCATATTTCTCATGTGATTTTTTAATAGCTGCTTTTTCATATAAAGATTCACACCTTGCATTTGGCTACTTGTCTCTTACAATGTTTCTATTCAACTATAAGCTCCACCTCCCTCTTTCATTTTTCTTGCAATTTATTTATTGACAAAACTGGGTTGCTAGTCCCATAGAGTTTCCCACATTCTGGATTTTGCTAACTGTATCACTGTGGTGTCCTTTTAGATGATCACTATTATATTAGATGCTTGCTGCCCATTGCACTGTAAAAATGAATTAAATCATAGTTCGTCAACATAGTTGCCACTCATTCAGTGCTTATTACACACCATATCCTTTGTAGCATACTTGACACAAATTGTCTCATTTAACTGGCACAACAACCCCATGTGTAAATATTATTATCCCCAGTCTAGAGACAGAGAAAATGAAGCTTAGAGAGGTTAAAGAAATTTGGCCATAGTCAATCAGCCAGTAAATATCCAAATTCAAACGTAGGTCTGTCTGATGTTAAAGCCCATGCTTTCATCCATTGCATGAGAATATCCCCTCACATTACCTTTGCCTGTGGTTTGTGGTGGTGGTTTATTTTTTATCAGTTCTAAAAAGTAGTCCTGCAGTCCATCCAAAAAACTTACTTTCACATTTCATCTGTGACACTTAGGATGCTGTTACTTTCAAGTAACAGAAAACCCCATCTCGAGGAGACTTAGCAATAAGGATATCTATTATCTCATATAACAAGAAATCCAGAAGTAGGCAGCACCAGGGCTGCCTGTTTTCCTGGTTCACCAACACCACCACAGGTTCAGCTTCCTTCTCTCTCTTCACTCTGCCATCAGGGTGTTGGCTTTGTCCTAAGGTTGGATCCCCTTATGGTTTTAGGGGATGTTAGTGAAACTGAAGATGGCTATTTCAGTTTAGGGTAACACAGACAGATGCATCAACAACCAGTGGAAGATGCACATGTTTCCCCATGTGTCTGTGTTTAAGAGCAAGAAAAGCTTTCCCAAAGGCCTTCAGCAGACCCTGCCTCACGTCTCACAGGCCAGAACTGGATCACATGCCCCTCCTAATCTATCACCGGCCAGTCAAGAAAATGCTAGTCTCCTTGCTCATGATAGGTTTAGGAGCAGGCACCTCTGAGGTGCTAATGGGGCCACTTTCCCTGGCGGGTGGACAACGTACAGGCTCTATAAGAAGGAAGGGGTGGAATGGATGTTGAGTAGGCAAATGCATTAGTGTCCTAAGGCTGTGTAACAAAGTACTGCAAACCAATGGCTTGAAACAACAGAAATTCATTCTCTCACAGTTCTGAAGGCAACAAGTCTAAAATTAAGATGTTAGCAGGGCTATGCCCCCTCTAGCTCTAGGGAAGAATCCTTCCTCCCCTCTTCCTAGCTCCTAGTGGTTACCAGCAATCCTTGGCACTCCTTGGCTTATAGACACATCACTCCAATCTCTGCCTCCATCTTCACATGTATTCACCCTGTGTGTCTCTCTCTGTCTTCACATGGCCTTTTATAAGGACACCAGCCATTGGATTTAGGGCCACTATAATCCAATATGATCTAATCTTAACTAATTATATCTGCAAAGACCCTATTTTCAAATTAGGTCACATTCTGGGGTCCCGGGTGGACACGCATTTTGGGGGGACACTATTCAATCCAGTATGGCAACCAACAGTATCTACTATATATTTCTAATGAAATATGATGCATGTTTAAATATGAATAATTAAAATACTTCATTATAATTGCCATATAGAATTTTTTACTGTCAATTTATCAGTTTCCTCATTTGTACGAAGAAAGGCTAGACAAAATGATCTATAAGGTCCCTTCCAGCTCTAGGAGTTCTGTTTCAATTTTATATTTTCATTTTTCAAAAAGTAAGTTGAAAACTTAAACTTATAAGTATAGTCCAGAGATGAGGGGTTTCAACTGGCAAGATAAATCATAGGCATGGCTCAAATCCTTTTTGCTCTTTGAAAAAAAGAAAAAATTAAACATATCTATTTAAAGAACTAAACAGACTGGAACTGATAATATCTTTCCATTTAATTGTAACATTAAAAAAAGAAAGGTTAAAAGTTCTACTTCTCTCACTCATCCCTTAACACCTGTTGTCTTCTAGCCCTCATGGTATGGACAGCTTGATTAGAAATTCTTTTCCACACCTCACTGTCTTTAATTTGTTGTCAACAGCCACCTAGGGCTTATACACAGGACAGTTCTTGTATCTCTGCTTTGGCTGCCAACTATAACTTTAACTTAAGAAATCATCTTTATACCTGCTTCCTCTCACAGCTTTTGAAGAAATTTCATTGTGCATATTCATTTTCCCTGTGGGAGCCACAAGGAAGCCAAAGAGAAAGTACACAATCAGGTATCTTCGCTATAGTGAACTTTTGCTACTCCTTCTTAAATCTGCATGAAATTGTTTTATTTTCATTTTAAGCCTACCATCAGCTTTCTCTGGGAAAACTACTGGCTTTATCTGTAAACTAATCAAAACCAAACCAGTTGTCATCAAGTTAATTGCAACTCGTGGTGACCCCAGGTGTGTCAAAGTAGAAGTGTGCTCCACAGGATTTTCAATGGCTAATTTTTCAGAAGTAGATCTCCAGGCCTTCCTTCCACGGCACCTCTGAGTGGACTTGAACAGCTAACCTTTCAGTTAGTAGCCAAGTGCTTAACTGTTGGCACCTCCCAGCAACTCCATCTGTAAACAGCCCATTCTTACTAAACAGAAGGCTATGACTTGTAACAAACCCACAGTGTAAATGAGTCAACCCCACGCATCTGTCAATCTGTTGTACTGTGGTGGCTTGTGTGTTGCTGTGATGCTGGGTGATGTATTTCAGGTAACAGCAGGGTCACTATGGTGGACAGGTTTCAGCTGAGCTTCCAGATTAAGACAGACTAGTAAGAAGGACCTGGCTGTCTACTTCTGAAAAAATTGGCCAGTGAAAACTTTATGAATAGCAGCGGAACATTGTCTGATACAGTGCTAGAAAATGAGCCCCTCAGGTTGGAAGGCACTCAAAATACAAACTGGGGAAGAGCTGCCTCCTCAAAGTAGAGTCAACCTTAATGACACAGATGGAGCAAAGCTTTCAAGGCTTTCATTTTCTGAGGGCACAACTCAAAATGAGAAGAAACAGCTGTAAACATCCATTAATAATCAGAACATGGAATATATGAAGTAGGAACCTAGGAAAGTTGGAAGTCGTCAAAAATGAAATGGACTGCATAAAGATCAATATCCTAGGCATTAGTGAGCTGAATGGACTGGTATTGGCCATTTTGAATTGGACAATCATATCGTCTGCTACAGCAGGAATAACAAATTGAAGAGGAATGGCGTAGCATTCATTGCGAAAAAGAACATTTCAAGATCCATCCTGATGTACAACGCTGTCAGTGATAGGATAATATCCACATGCATACAAGGAAGACCAGTTAATACGACTATTATTCAAATTTACGCACCAACCACTAAGTCTAAAGATGAGGAAATTGAAGATTTTTACCAACTTCTGCAGTCTGAAATTGATCAAACATGCAATCAAGATGCATTAATAATTATTGGTGACTGGAATGCAAAAGTTAGAAACAAAGACAAACGATCAGTAGTTGGAAAATATGGCCTTGGTGATAGAAACGATGCCAGAGATTGCATGATAGAATTTTGCAAGACCAATAACTTCTTCATTGCAAATACTTTTTTCAACAACATAAACAGCGACTATACACATGGACCTCACCAAAAGGAATACACAGGAATCAAATCAACTATATCTGTGGAAAAAAATGATGGAGAAGCTCAATATCATCAGTCAGAACAAGACCAGGGGCTGATTGCAGAACAGACCATCAACTGCTCATATGTAAGTTCAAGCTGAAACTGAAGAAAATTAGAGCAAGTCCACGAGAGCTAAAATACAACCTTGAGTATATCCCACCTGAATTGAGAGACCATCTCAAGAAGAGATCTGACACACTGAACACTAACGACTAAAGATCAGGCAAGCTGTGGAATAACATGAAGGACATCATACATGAAGAAAGCATCAGAAGTCAGTAAAACTGCAGCAGGCCTGGTCTCGACCTGAGCCCGGTCTTCACAAGGCTTCGGTGTAAAGATGCTCACTCACCCAAATGCTCCTCACAACTTTGACAAGCCTTCACCACCCACCCTATCTGCATCCCCGAGCTTCTCAAAAGAGGATGCACAGCTTTTTCCAAAAGCGGAGGTTCTTCCTCCCCTGCAGAGCGGTTATAGGGTCCTGACACTTATTCTACGAGAGACTGCCGGAGAAGCGTGGGGATGGGGAGCCCCAGCACAGCGCAGAGGCGCACTGGGGGGGCCTTCCTCCGTGCGGCCGCTCCGCGGAGCCCGGAACTACGCTTCCCAGCCTGCTCCGCTGCGCCCGCGCGCTGGTGCACCGCACCCTGGTCCCGAGCCGCCTGTAGATCACTGCGCCCGCCCCAGCACGGCGCAGCCCCTGCTCGTCTGGCCCTGCTGCCTTGGGGCTGAAGGACTGACGGCCCCCACAGCCGGCCCGGAGATGTGCACACGGACGGGTGAGCGCGCCGGCGGTGGGTGGGGGGCTCCGCCGGTGGGTGGGGGGCTCCGCCGGTGGGTGGGGGGCTCCGCCGGCGAGGCACTGTCTGCAGCCCACGGGCCCGCAGTGCAGCGACGGCCGTGCCCTCCTGGCCGCTGGAGGTTGCCCCGAGGCGTCGGGCTCGGCCGGCGGGAGGGCAGAGCCGGGCCCGCCTTTTTGCCTCCCCACCCCGCGAACTGCGCGGGGCTGCCGGGTGCTGGGCCCCAGCGGCGGAGGAGAGAGCGCTGCAGAGGGAGGCGCGGGCGGCGGGCGCCCGCCGGGTGTGGGTCCCACGCTTCGCACTGCGGCTCCGCAGCCTCTGCAGCCCGCCGGGCCGCTGCAGCGAGGGGGCGGTCTCCTGTCCTCCCCAAGCTTCGGGGCTGCGTTTTTCCGCGCTAGGCTTTGTTCCCTACTTTCTGCTCTCCTGTGAACGTTTGATAAGCTCCTGAGCCTTATACATCTCACTGCCTCGGTAACACAGACGACGGGAAAGAGTGGAATCTGGCCGGCGTCTTTTCCCAGGCTCCCCGAGCTGTCACTAGCCGGGCGGTGCAGCCTCTGAGAAAGCAGTGTTCAGACGGCAGCCTGTGCAGGCCTTGAGACCCTTATTTTTTTCTGGCTAAAGAAATGGTAGGATATGCTCCCTTGAGTCTTCTTAAAATTTCTCTCTTGCCTTACAGAAATTAAGATTGATTAAAAAAATAATAACAGTAAAAGGCTCACAATGGGAATTTTTAGTTAAACTATTCAAAAGTAGGGAGGTGATGTGGTCAAAATGCAGATTAGCAATGAAGAAGGCAGCGAGTGCTATGGCTTCGTCTGTGCCCATTTAACATCTGAATCACGGAGGTTCTTGGGAGGAGAAAGAATAGAAGAACATTGGAGGATGTTTAAAAGCCTGGCTCCAGTCCTAGCTCTACCATCAAGGAGCTGAGGGACCCTGGACAAGTCCCTTCACCTGTGAGCCTCCTTCTCCGTGTAAAATGGGGCTTTGTGCTATAAATTATTTCTAAGCCTTTGTTCTTCCAAGATTCTCATATCAAGGAGCTAAGGAGACGAGGGTGCTTCTGTTTAACAACATGACAAAAAGCCTGGTTGTGACAGGACAAGAGGCTTTGCCCTAGTGAGGAGGAAAGATTTTTCCCGGCTTAGGCGATCTGATATTTAAAAAAAACAAAAAACAAAAAACAAAAAAAAACTGATTTCCTCTTTTCCCTTCAGTCTAGTCCTGTAAGTATGCATTACAACTGTTTTAATTTTTGTAAATTACTCTAAATTGATAGGCTACAGTAGGTTTTTTGTTGCTGTTGTTTAATTTGTGGAGTGTGAAGTAATGGGATCAGCAGGTAAAGGGAGGAGCAAGTGACTCCTGGGGCTGGAGCAGAGCAATCAGATGAAGGGCTAGAGGAGGGGAGCTAATGGGGGGGCCGGGGGGGGGGCAGAAGTAACCAGAAAGTATATACACCGGGGAGAGAGAGGATGGGTACTGATGGGTCATTGTTGGAAAAATACGATAGAAGGAATGAGAGAACCAGAAAATCAGTGCTGTGCAAACTGTAACATAACAGCTGATTCAGGCAAGGAGTCATAAGCTGATACAAAAACTCTTTAATTGAAAAGTTGTTCGGGAACAGGATTTTCACTGTGTTTTAGAGTACCTCACTTCAGATTACTTTGTGAAATGTATCCTTACGATGGAGATCAGGAGCCAATCAAAAGTCTCCTGTTCTGATGCAGTTACAAGGTCATAACTTCACCTCCATAAACCTTTCTGCCAAGAATGTTTGTTCCTGAATCTAATCAGGAAGAAACAACCTGACAAATCCAGAATGTGGGACATTCTACAAGACAATTGGCCTGGACTCTTAAAAAATTTAATGTTATAATAGAAAAAAAGATTTGTGGGAGTGGGAGATTATTGTAGATTAAAAAACTAAAGTGATGTCACAACTAACTGGGATATGTAAACTTTGACTGGATTCTGGATCAGGGAAAAAATAACTATAAAAGACAACTTGGAGACAATTGGGGAAATTTGAATATGGTCTGTATATTAGATATTATTAGATGAATTGCTGTTAATTTCTTAGGTGTGATACTATGGTTATATGGGAGATTGACCTTATTCTTTGGAGATGTGTGCCAAAGAATTAGCAGTGAAGTGTCCTGACATCTGCAACTTACTTTCAACTGGTTCAGAAAAAACAGTATCCCAGGGAGGGGAGGGGCCTGTCAAGCTCAGGAATGTAACAAAGGTGGCAAAATGGTGACAGTTGGTGAATCAAGGAGAGTACTATGTTGTTGTTAGGTGCCATCAGGTCGGTTTCTACTCATAGCAACCTCATGTGGCAGAGTAGAACTGCCCCCGTAGGGTTTTCTAGGCTGTAACCTTTTTGGGAGCAGATCTCCACGTCTTTCTCTTGCAAACCTGCTAGATATGTTCAAACCAGCACCTTTTGATTAGCAACTGAGTGCTTAACTGTTGTGCCACCAGGGCTCATGGAGAGTAGTATATAAGTGTTTATTGTGCTATTCTTTTACGTTTTCTGTAGACTTGAACTTTTTAAAATATAAAGTTGGGGAATAAGTAAATAAAGAGTATTGCAGGGGACTTTGTGGTTAGTGACAGACAGCTGTAGTGAATCTGTTGGGAACTCCTTGGATCCAAGTTCCCACGGTTTAAGTCTTCTTTGAGTTATGAGTAGGGTTAGGGGAAGCTCCTTTTTTTGGTTTACCTTAACTACACTCCATCCCCAAGTTCCTACCTCAAAGTATTAGTAATTCCCCGAACCTTGGAAACTCTAGCCCTACCCAAGAATCATACTAAAAGCACTGTCCCTTTTTCTCTACATTCTGAGATCTGTGTTGTTGTGGAAGGAAATTTGGGAATATAGGTGATAGTTTGGTTTATTTTTGGCTTGGGGGAGGATGTTGGGGAAAGAACAAATCCCGTTTTGTGACAAAATAGAAGTTATAAATCACATACAACCAAATGTTTTCATTATAGACTACGACTGGTTCAAAGAGGTTCATAGAAGGCCTGTGCTGAAGGGGCTTCCTATTATTATACCAAGAAAGTAGAATCAGCTCTCGAGATCCAACATTTAATCTCATATAAAGAACATTTTGTGGCAAGAATATTTTTGTTTACTTGGATTTGATCTATATGTGTATCTATTTATGTATATCCACGTGCTTACATGCGTATCTAGGAAAATATTAATTTAAGGTATACACATTTACTTGTCTGAACATCCAAGATAGTATATGTGTAGATCTGTGAATCTCTCAAACAATATTTCCCAAAATATATATAATGTTAATTAGTGTTATAAGGAGAAAAAAGTGTGTAGTCAAATAGATACAGGAATCACTAGGTTAAACAAAGCTAAAAAGGTTTACTCAAGGCTTTTCAGAGCCTTCCATGGGTTAGTGCTCATTGTGGTTGAGGGTAAAGGTGGAGGTGTCTGTAAAATGTGGTCTAGAGTGTTTCTCAAACTTGTGTGACCATAGAATCTTCTGGTCAAAGCATCTTGAAGAGCAAATGGCCTTTAGTGCATTTGTGGGTGGTGGGTCAGGACATCTGAATAAATGTGTAGTTCGTAAGCATTTGTGTTTCCTACTGCCTGCAGATTAAAATCCAAATTTTAGATTCTGGCTTTAATGGATCATAGCTGTTTCACCCCAATCTACTTTTCCTATTGTAATTTCCTGGCAACCTGACATATTTCTTCCTATAAACTTTCCTGCTAAATATTTTGCTTATATACTGTGAACCAATTTTAAGTGCACCCAAAAGTCAATTATCCATAAGTTGTGAAAGCTTTGTTTGTAGTGTGAAGCAGGATGCTACTGTTCTGCTGTGGCTCTTAATGGAGCCACTTGAGTTCCTTGACCCTGGACCTGTATTTCAGAGTGACTTTCCTCAAAGATGTGATTTAGTGCTCTTCCTGCTTTTACATTTTATGTTTTGATGGCTGCCCCATCAATTATCTCTTTTCATGTGTGTCACCAGTTTTCCTGGATTCCCCTGGTGATGGCTGGGTCGGGTGGGAATAAGAAGATCTCTCTGGGACTGTGGTGACCGGAGCTCATGAAATGGCATGAGGCCATGGCAGGCCTGGACATGAAGATTAAGGAGTGAATCTGGGGGACTAGCCCCAAGAAAGAAGCAGTATGCCCCTTATCAGAGAGATTGCAGGGATCTAGATTGGTGGTGTAGTGGTTAAATGTTCAGCTTCTACCCGAAAGGTTGGTGATTCAAACCTACAAGCTGCTTTGCAGGAGAAAGATACGGCAAGGTGCTCCCCTAAAGATTACATACAGCCTGGGAAACTCTACGGGGCAATCATCTAGGGTTGCTATGAGTTGGAATCAACTCGAGGGCAATGGGTTTTTAGTTTAGAGTCTCGTGAGCTGGATTGCTCTTCAGCCAGTGTATGCAAGGATAGCAACCCTACTGTTCATAGGTGATAGCTACTTTGGTTGGGCAGTGCTCATTTCATACCAGGTGCTAAATGTTCTGCATGATAAGCAATCATGAGTCAAGGTGCACACAACACCCATAAGTCATAGCAAAGCATAGATCAGAATTTAACTGGGGTACAGATGCCCAAGAGACAAGATAGGTGGGTTTAAGACCATATAAGCAGGCAGAAGCCAAGAGGGTGCCTGGATCAAAGGACAAAGAGCAGGCAACCCATGGTGCCAGTCAGGAAGTTAGAAAACCACAGGTACCTAAGGGCAGGAGGAGGAGACTTGGCTAGAACCAACAGGAGTTAAAAACCAGGAAGACACAGACAGCTGAGTGGAAGGCAACGAGGTAAACAGAGGCCAAGAAACAGGAACTCCTCAGAAAACAGAGGATAGAGCCAGACAGAGGGACAAGGCAGCGTTGGGGGATAGAACCCACCAAGAGAGTTAGAAACCAGGTGGCGGTCTGGGCAGATAGTAAGACTTCCATGCAAAAGAGTTTCTGCC